GAAAAAGAGGAAGACCCCCAATGAGATGGATCAGCCAGGTGGCATCATTGATGGACTCAAGTATGGCAGCGGTAGTGAGATTGGCCCAGGATCGGACATTGTTTCGTTCTGCTGTGCATGGGGTCGCTATGAGTCGGTTCTGACTCGATGGCACCTGACAACAACAACAAGGAAGTCTTGGAGTGGTACTGTGGGTTAATGAGCTGGACTACAAAGTCAGTTTGAACAGCAAGCTCAAGCTCCTTGGAAACCCTTTTCAGGGTTGCTATGGGTTGGAACCAACTCAATGGCACTTAACAACAACAACAACATTCAAAATTATATTGCAACTCTTAGCCAGGATAATAAGACAAGAAAGGGAAGTAAAATGCATCCAAATTATTAAAGAGAAGTAAAAGTATCACTGTAGATGATATATTATACATCAAACATTTCAGAGACTCAATAAGAAAGCTACTGGAAATAATAGAAGAAGTCAACATTTCAGGAGACAAAATCAACACACAAACATTAGTTGGACTTCTGTGCATCAACAACAATAACCTGGAAAATAAAATTAGAAAACAATACAATTTACAATAGCCACCGAAAAGATCAAATACTTTTTATCTAACTAAAGAGATAAAATACCTATACAAAGAAAGCTACAAAATACTGCAAGAAACCAAAAGATGCATAAATGGAAAAATATACAATGCCAGTACTAGCCAAAGTAATCTGCAGATATAGTGCAATACGGATCCAAATTCCATCATCATTCTAATGGATGGAATATGGAAAAAACTAATCACAAATCTTATTATGGAAAGGAAAGAGACCCCGCATAAGCAAAGTGCTACTAAAGAAGACCTAAGTAGGAAGTCTCAGTAGTCATAATAGACTGGCACTTTTATAAGGACAGACACATAGGCCAAGAGAATAGAAGAATAGAATTGAGAAACCAGAAACTAGAAGTAAACCCATATATATATATATATAATATATGTTGTTGTTGTTGTTGTTGTTAAGTACCATTGAGTCAGTTCTGACCCATAACGACCTTGTATAGGGTTTTGAGGAGTGGCTGATGAGCTTGAACTGCCAATCTTACAGTTCAAACAACTTTGTAGTCCAGAGTACATTAA